GTGGTGGTGGTGGACATCGAACACACCTACTCAGGGTAGATAATTGATCAACTTTAATCATCACTCAGCGTGTCATTCAGCTTTCATCTTTACACAAAATCCTCAATGGGTAAGCTATAAAATTGAGCTTCACACTTATCAGAATTCTTCATTAGTGCATTATCGCTGACCCTCCGGAATATAACTCTGAAACCCTTATATGGACGACTACTGTTCCAACAAACACAAATAAATGTTTTTTCATATACTTTATCCATCAATATTTGTTCCCTTTACATGATCGAACAACAAAATCAACGAAAAGTGGTATAGTTGGCAAGCCCGTTTGCTAATATCCCACTGAAATGTTCAAAATGTCCAACTTTTATTGGTTATTCTGCTGTCTAAAGGAAGTAAGGTCCGTAAGTTATTCATACTGTGCAACACAAAGCAAATGGGATCCAAATTAAGCCGGATATTCCATAGATTGAAATCCTTCTTTTTTCTTTTATACAGTCATTAACCGTGATTACAATATCATGCTTTTTCATCCATGATAATATGGTGCTCGTTTTGTGCACGCACAAAGAACATTTAAGTTTTATTGAAATGGAATATCTGTTTGCATAGATATCACGAAGTAGATTAAACTTTGGGTATGTTCGAAACGCATGCATCCCAAAATGTAGAAAAACGATACTGAATTAATCACATTAAGTCCTTTAATCATTTGGTTATCCCGAAGTAGTGTGACTCAAAGTTGTACACCTGAGATGATTCATCTTGATAATCAATTTTCTGATGTCTAAAATGAATATTTAAACAAGCTGTTTTCTCAGGTGACAGCATCCCAGACTGAGTGGTTGTGAATGGATTGTTTTGTATTGTGAATTTGTCGATAGACTTTGAGCGATTACCACACCAACCGGTGGAAGCTTATTGTTCCAGTACTCGAAAAATTGTGATGTGACTTCACTATTTAGGAAACCTTACTATATTCTCATTTAAGTGCGCAAACAGCAACATGTTTTACACAGGTGATTTCTCACCAAATCTGCTGAATGCAAACAGAACATCATCCTAGCATTTCCGATGGTGCAAATAATTCATTGATAGCAATACTTATGATCAGAAACTTTCTTCATGTGTCCAGTGGCAAATTTACGGCAGGCAACTCTGAAATTCAAAGCTTTCCAGAGAAAGTAACTCAGTACTGTAATCTTCCTCATTCACAGTTTGAATCTTTTTTATAGTTGAGCGTATAATCACACAATCTACATTTCTTCAAAAAGTTTCTCGCGATGATTTGGTTTATGGCGTGTGATCAGTGTTCCGTTTCGTATGTGATTGTGCCATACTGGATACTGGCGGGAATTCATTAATGCAATAAAATGGGTATTTTTTCACAGTGACACTAATCTACCCAAAATAACAGCGAAACGTTTAAGTCAGCGTCATCGAGAATAGATGAAGGAAATGGACAAGTATAGACCTGGGTGAAGGCAAGCTACCGGCTATCCTTTTAATTTCTAACAAATGACCTACTGTTGTAGTGTTCAAAATCCTTCAGTTCTAATACCAAAAAAATTCACTTTGTTCAAGTAGTTCCCTGTGTTGACATGAATACCATGATGAAATGTACTTGATCGCTTCATTATTTCTTGCGTCATTAGAAACTGACTAAAGTATCAATCTTTTAAATAAATGGAAATAAGGCTTCCACAACACGTGTCCATGTTTTATTGGATACGACAACCTATTTGTGCACTGATGCATTTCGCTATTTGGAGCACTTTTGTTTGTTCCAGAGCATAGTGCGTCAAATTACAGTTTAACATGTGGGCATGTACATTGGTATGCGATTTGAGTAACATGTTTCCAGTCAACACAGATGAATCACAAAACAGTGGTATCAGCTTTTGCTCCAAAAGACCTTTAGGATATCGGAGACAGGTAGATTTGTTTTGACCGTATCTGCTCTTCACCGTTTTCAATTTACTCGTTTGTGTGGAAAACCGAATAAAACCCCAAAGAACCTCGTTTCAAATGTGTACGGCACCAAACAAACGAGTAAAATCCCAACAGTATCAAAACGAAGTTGACCTCAGGGACGAGCAATTTCCGATACAGATGAAACCCAATACTTACTATTCTGTAATATTTTGGACAAGCTTTGACTACATTATTCATCCTCGGTTCATCTTTAACAATGTTTTGCCCATTTTATACACAATAAAATACCGTGGAATGAAAGGCATTCAATTCAGAAGTCAGGCAAAGGATTTGTATTCCGAAAGCTGCTGACGAATTTTAACATAACGCCAAATCAGTTTATTACTCTACATACGTTCAGGTTTTAACACAAACGGTTCGAGATGAATTCGCACTTATTTCTGTTATACCTTCATCGTTTTTCTTTTGTCTGAGTCACTGAAGCATCTGGAGACTGTATTGTACATACTATTGTATGAGTAGTATTTCTGAGGAACACTCCCGTTACATGCCATTTCTCTGTTCATCGCTTAGAATGGGGTGGGTTGAATGTGACTGCCACACTATAGTTACGGCCAACATGAAAAACAAAAATCAAACCCTCTATTGTTTCTTGTTCTATCAACTGTGTTATCTGGCGATAAATCTTTCGCAAACGCCTTCATCGAATTGTTTATTTTTTTGCTGTTTGAAATTAACAAGGCAATATGTCAGCGGTATGACATATTTGAAATGTGTTATCTAAAACAAGAACACAAGTTCTGTTTTCAAGCTAAGAATATTGCAGTCCAGAAGAGACAGACAAACATTTGTCTTGAAGTACTTAAAATGATTTAAACCGCCTCTTCAGTTAAATGGACACGGTTTTTGATTATCTAGATTCACAACGGGAGACTTGCACATTCTCCTGAAACAGAGTATGTTCATATTTAGCTAGCAATGTATACTTATAAAGTTATTTGTGTACTCGTTTATGTTTGACATTGGGGAGGCATCTCTTTCGGAACGAAAACAAATCTGCAAACTCTACCGTCAACTAACCGAGGCCAAAATTTTGCATTTCGTACCAAAAGATACCCCAAACCAATAGCTACTAAGTTCGAACTGAAAAATGTACTACTGTTTTACTACACAAACTTCAGTTCCCAAAGCAATCGATTACCCTCAAAACGGAACAGATTTTGAAAACCTCATTAAGTAGATATGACTCCTAATACACTAGAGTTTAGTATCGTTTACCTTCTGCTTAAGACGTTGATTAGTTACAAAACAATACCGTTTGCTTGGAACCCGTAGAAGGCGCATTACTGGTGCAAAATTATTTTGAACGTATCAAAATCCATGATTGAACCTATTGGAGAACGACGGTTTCCCTTACAGAAGATTTAGATATTTGGGCGACAAGGACACACAGAAATTGTACACAACAAACGTTTCCTGCGTCAATTTACTAAAAGTCAATCAGGGAAACCAGAGTAAAACACATTTAACATAAAAGCCTCCCAGAATAAATTACCTCTAACAGGATCAAAAGGTTACCGTTTCGTACACATATGTCTACTTTAGTGAGTGTTTAATCATATATAAATGTTTGTGTTTGTGTGTGCATGCAGCGGGTATAAATAAGCTTATGCCATCCGCATTGCATTTCACACAAAAACAAATTTATTCCGTGGTAGCTCACTCTTCACAAGCATTTTACTCACCTTCCTAGTAAGTTGATGTGTGCGTGATCCAAGCTCAAAATGAACTTTACCATTAGCTCCACTGTCAGCATCATATGCTCTCAAATGTTTCAACAACCAAGGGACTGGTCCTTTGTTTTCGGGCACACGAATATGCATCGTCGGGCGATAAGCCTCGGTGCCAGGAACACATGCGCCCCCACGGTCAATCAGATCACCTAAATCAAATATGGGTCTACAGTCATTAACATCTTCAACCATAACACGAATATTCAGTGTTCCCGTGCGCCTCGGTTCCGTTCTGGATTGATCCATGGCAACGACAAAAAGATCATAACTATCGCGTACTTCTCTGTCTAATGGACGTTGTAACACCAGTTCAATCTGGGTGCGATTTCTGGGTCGGGGAGTTATGCTCAACTGGAAGGGAATTGATTCTGAAGAATCATCTATAAATGCGGGCATGAGTTTGTACTGCACAAACCCGTTCTCACACAAATCCGGATCCAATGCGGCAGGAAGTTCACGCTTAGCTCCGGGTAAATCATTTTCTTTGAATGATAGTTGGAATGGAGGAGAAACATCAAAGCGTGGTGAATTGTCGTTCACATCGCGTATAGATATGTGAATAACA